TATATATATATATATATATATATATATATATATATATATGATGAGAGAGAGCAAAGAAGCTTGGATGATAAAGAGTGGGTGCACCAATCACATGTGCTAGCATCTTCAAAGAGTTCGAAAAGACATACATGTCCAAAGTTTATAAGCAATGGAAAAAACGTAGTATGAAAGGTAAATGAGTTATGTCTGTTGGGTGTGGAAAAGATGATATTTGAGACCACTATTTGTACTTAAATTGAAATAGGAGAAGTTCTTAATGATTTGTAACACAAGAACTTCGTAGAAGCAATACAAAATTAAGTCGTGAGAATCAGTTTCAATTTCTTCTTGTGAAGCAACAAAAATGATCAAAAAAATGTGTTTAATTATTCTTCAAATATGGAGAAGTAAAACTAAGTCTCCAGCTTTGTTTTCATTTTTTTATAAAATTTTATATAATAATAAATTATTGATGAATTTTGGAGTATTAACATATATAATTAAGATATTAAAGTTTATAATAATATTTGACAATAACTTATTTTAAAATAAATAAGTAAAATTACCTGCTCAATGTTAAAATTATTTACCTTGAAGAAAAATAATACAAAAGATAAGAAAAGGAAAGCTAAATGTACTTCAAACAGACCCACTTTGACAATTTTTGTTACATTTCAAAATAAAATAAAATAAACAATGAAATAAGAGTTTTAACTTCACAAGCGATGTACATATGCATTTCAACAAATATCAAGAAAAAAAATGATAATGATAGTGAAAATTACAATAAAGATTATGTAGATAACAATTAATGACAAATTGAGATGACGAATATAACAATCAATAATAATGATAACATGATAACAAAAAGGAAATTGACTTAATAATAATGATGATGACTTTATTAAAGAAAAATCTCAAAGGATTATAAAGTAAGTAGTTTCTTCCTTTTTTTTGTTATCATTTGTTATCTTTATAAATTAAAATAACATGTTTCCAAAATAAGATATAAGTGCTTAAAAAAATTCCATAGCTTAAAAAAAGTTCTTGAGATTCATTGAATTGGGTGAATTTATATATATACCTTCTTTTATCTAATCCTCAGTAGTCAACCGAAATTTATTTTCCATTTATTCTATCATTTTCTTCGTGAACAAATCACATTATTTAAAGAGTAATAATATTTTGATATACAGAAATTTTTTACAATTGCTTGACATTATTTTTCATTATTTTCTTTTCTTTATTTTATTTTACAAATAAAAAAATTCATCTTTTTATAATTATTTTTATATTAAGTAATAATAATGTATGACATTATAGTAAAATAGTTACAAAAAATTAAACTTTTGTAATTTTAGAAAAAAACAGAAGAGTAAAAGATAAAAAAAGATAATTTGAAAATGAACGTAAAAAATTTGTATTTAAAAAATGAATCTTTGACATTTTGTGGATTTCTCTTGCTATAAATATATATGATCATTCTCCGTGGCCTCTTATCATCTAGCTCTATCACAGAATTGCACTATCCTTGCATGTGAAGTGTGTAATACTAAAGGAGAAACAGTACTTCAGAACTTTCAAAATGGGTCTGGTAAAAGAAATTTTGGGACAAACCATGGTAGAAGCACTCTGTTGTAATATTTCAGGGTGGTCTTCACTACCTAACCGTTTCTGTATTAAGAGGCAGAGAACAGTTTCCATGCTTCCAACTTTCTCTGAGCTGAAGACCATGTTGCAACTACCTGCTCCTCCTTCACAGTCACAACCCTTCACCAAATTAGATGAGCTTGCTTCCAACCCATTGAACGTGACTTTGACCATAGCCGGAACAGTAACTATCAAGAACAGTAAGGAGATGATGCTGCCCACCATGCATCAGCAAAGAGGAATTGTCTTCCAGCTAGTTAGCACCGAAATTCAACCCCGTAAGTAATGCTGTCAAAAATGAGTCGTAATCCATCCATCAGTGTTGTCAAAATAAATTGTAACTTAAATGAGTTGTAACCCATGGAGCCAACCCGATTTAGGACGGGTTTAAACCGGGTTGGATTTAAAAAAAAATAATTTTCAAACTGAGTTAACCAGGATCGAGATAGGTTACCAGAGTCCTGTATTCTCGCCATCAACAATGCCCTAGCGAGGTGCACGTATTAGTTAATTTATATGTTTTGAAATGTTTTTTACTATTTTGATTTATGTGAGTGTTCTACGAAATTGTAGGAACGCTGGAGACAAAACTGAGCAACCCAGTTGAATTAGAGTTTTTGAAACAGTTTAAGGTGGGAGCGGAGAGTTCCACATACAAGGTAGAATTTGAGATAGATTCAGATTTTGGCTTCCCCGGAGCTATCACTGTCACAAACAAATACGACAAAGAGATCTTTCTGGAAGGTTTTTCCATTGACGGTGTTGTGGATATTGTCTGCAATTCTTGGGTTCAACCTGAGAAGATTCATCCAGAGGACAGAGTTTTCTTCAGCAACAAGGTAATAACTATTGTATGATTTGAACATTCACGTATTCACAATTTCAGTTGTCATGGTAAGAGAATTCATATATTGTCACCACAGGCATACTTACCATGCTACACACCAGCGGGTCTGAAAGAGCTAAGAAAGGAGGAACTACGACTGCTGAGAGGAAATGGAAAAGGTGTAAGAAAGAGGTGTGAAAGAGTGTATGATTATGATGTGTACAATGATTTGGGAAATCCAGACAAAGGAAGAGAAAACATGAGGCCAATACTAGGGACAACGGAGTACCCTAGTCCCAGAAGGTGCAGAACCGGTCGTCCTCCATCCATAACCGGTTAGTTTCATTTCATGAATTAATGACCACGTGTCTCATTCTCTTCGGTGGTCCATGCATATGATCCTTTGTCACATCAATAACAACATTCAAGAAAAGTAGATAACACAAAATTTGAATCGTAAGCTATATCAACCAACACAAATATTTCATTATGAAATATTTCAAAAATGAAAGTATACAGTTAACAAAAATATTCAGAACAAAACTTACTTTAAAAGCACAGACCTTTAATTTCAGTGCTATATGTTTGTATTTTGTCGGTAGTATAGCTGATCATTAACATATTTTTGTTTCCTTTCAGACAAGAAATGCGAGTCATGTGTAAATCCATCCGGGGAAACTTACGTGCCAAGAGATGAAGTGTTTGAAGGTATGAGAAAGAAAGCTCTTGATGTGGAAAAGTTGAAAGGGACAACGAGAAATTTGATTCCTTTCATAAGAACTTGTATTACCAAGTGTGGAGATTTCAAGCAACTTTCAGATGTTCAACAAATATACAAGAGAAAGCACATCCATAAAATGAAACCCGAGAACGTAGCTTCAACGAGATGGTCTCTACTTATGAATATGAGCAGGATCAGAAACAATGTGGAAGAGCATTTTAAATTTAACACTCCACGTATTATCAATGGTGGTATGCAATTTGAAATAGTGTTTGTTCAATTTATGATGAAATATTCTACCAATAAATGTGCTATATTTGAAATTTCAGCGAGTGGTTGGTGCATGAAAGATGAAGAACTTGGTCGTCAAGCATTGGCTGGCATCAACCCTCTAAGCATAAAAAGACTTGAGGTAATAATAAAAACTGAAGAAAATACCAAAAACTTATGATTTCTATACAATATATATATATATATTGATTTTTGTAATTTACTTTAAATATTTGATAGGCTTTTCCACCCCTCAGTGATCTGGATCCTTCGATATACGGTCCACAAAAATCTGCCCTAAAAGAAGAGCACATAATAAGCCATTTGGATGGAATGTCAGTACAAAAGGTGGTTAACATACGAGTCAATGAAGCTTATTTTTTTTATATATTTATTTGAACAATTTAAGTGTCAGTTATCTTCAACTTCATCGGACACAACTATAAAGATGCCTTTCCTTTTTCTGTGTATTGGAAGTTTGAAGCTTTGCATTACCTACTGGCTCAGGCAATAGCAGAAAAGAAGCTGTTCATATTGGATTATCATGATGTCTATATCCCATTTCTGAATGGCATGAATGTTCAGGAAGACAGAAAAGCATATGCAACTCGTACCATCTTGTTTCTGACACCACTTGGAACATTAAAGCCTATTGCTATCGAGTTGAGTCTTCCAGAGGGGGAATCATCCAAACAGGTCCTTACTCCTCCAATGGATGCCACCTCTCATTGGTTGTGGCAAATAGCCAAGGCACATGTTTGCTCCAACGACGCCGGTGTTCACCAACTTGTCCATCATTGGTATGTATAACTGCACAAACTTTTATACCTTGCATGTGTGCCTGTTTACCTAACATGGAATATGAAATAATGTTTCTGAAATGTATAGGTTGAGGACCCACGCATGCATGGAGCCTTTCATTATAGCAACTCATCGCCAACTGAGTGTTATGCACCCAATTTTCAAGCTTCTAAAGCCACATTTGAAACACACATTGCAAATAAATGGATTGGCTCGTGAGGCTCTCATCAACGAAGGAGGCATCATTGAATCTTTCTTTTCTCCTGGCAAATACAGCACTCAGATAATCTCAGCTGCGTACAAAGATTGGCGTTTTGACATGGAAGCTCTTCCTGCTGACCTAATCAGAAGGTTCGTCTACTTCGAATCCCATGTTAGAAGAGTTAAAAGCGTGTGATCTTATTATGTTGCAATAATCATGATGCAGGGGAGTAGCAGAACCAGATCCAACACAACCCCATGGGCTAAGGCTGCTCATCGAAGACTACCCTTATGCAAATGATGGACTTCTTATGTGGTTTGCCCTGGAGAACTTTGTGAGGACTTATGTTAACTACTATTATCGAGATGGGAAGATGGTTGAGTCAGACAACGAACTACAAGCATGGTATAGTGAGGTGATCAATGTTGGGCATGCTGATCATGCAAATGCAAGTTGGTGGTGGACACTATCCACTCCTAGTGATCTAACTTCAATACTCACCACATTCATATGGGTTGTTTCGGTTCAGCATGCTGCAGTGAACTTTGGGCAATACCCTCTGGGAGGGTATGTTCCAATGCGGTCCCCACACATGAAGAAGTTGTTACCCCGAGAAGGGAATCCGGAGTACAAAGAATTTATGGATGACCCAGAAGGATACTTGTTGTCTTGTTTACCAAATTTGTTTGAAACCACCAAGTTTCTGTCAGTGGTTAACATACTTTCTCAGCATTCACCGGATGAAGAATACATAGGACAGAGGAAAGACTTGTCGGAATGGGCTGGTGAGCCTGAAATCGTGGAAGCTTTCTACAAGTTTTCAATGGATGTAAAGAGAGTAGAAAAGGAGATTGAGAAGAGAAATAAAGACTCAAAACGTAGAAATAGATGTGGTGCTGGAATTCCACCCTATGATTTGCTCATTGCCTCCTCTGATCCTGGAGTTACTTGTAGAGGGGTTCCCAATAGCATAACCATATAGATGCTGATATGCTGCTACATGTATAAATGGGCTCATTTTACATCCTTTAATCCTTTCCCTGTATTACCTCACTTTTGAATATATCTAACATACAGATTTTAGTGCTAAATTCTATTGAGTTATTCTTTTTGATGTGACTCTCTCTTCTGTTTGTGTCCCATCTAGCATTTTTGGGATTGTTATTCTCTCGTCCCCCAATCAAGAACATCTTCGTCTTCTCTCTTGTACCCTTCTTATTATTAAAACATCAATCTATTATAATAAAGATAAATTAGATTTCATAAAAAAATAGCATAAAAATTTATATTAAAAAACGTTACATTTTTGGGATTTTTTTTGTTAAGAACTCTATGTGGTCCTATGCAGGGATGCGAAAATCATAAAATACCAAACAAATTTCTTTAACCGTGAATGAGTGATAGAGTATTTTAATTATTCACTTATTAAAGAAGACTTATAAATACCCACTGCTTATTTGTTTGTGATTTTTATCTGAATATATTTTTGAAAACTAAAATAATCAAAATAAAGTTATTGAAGACAAAAATATTAATAAGTAAAATTATGTTTAAAAATCGATTTTATAATTTACATTATTTTTTTTTTTGAAGAAATTGATTTTATTTAAATTTATATTTATTGTACAACTTATCTAAATTAGTTTTTTAGAAAAAATAATTGGATTTACCATAATAGTTTTATTATATAATATTATTCAGAAAAAATTATGATAAAATTTATTTGGATTTAAATTTATTTGATAAACTTTAAAACTTCCACCTTTAAGCATAAAGAAAACGTAATATTTCACCTTAAAAGGTATATGAGCATTGGAAAATATACTAGTACATATATGCTTTGATAATAAAGTAAATTAACTGAAAATTTAAGGAGTTAAGTAAATGTTGTTTAATTAACTGTTTAGGAAGAGATTTAAGATCATCTTCAATTTAAAAGTTATTATTTATTTTGTTTAGCTCCTCCCTTATTGATATGATTTTCATGCCACTTTTTATCTGAATAATTTTTTATTTACTTTTAACTTTTTTCAAAACTTATAATTTTTTTTTCATTTATAATTGAGATATTATTTAAGATTTCAAACTTAAAATTTTAATTTACATCATTATACTTTAATAGAAGTTTTTTTATAAAATTCAAATTCTAGACTTAAGATCACATAAGCTCTTTGGCATATCTATCTTCATCATGAGATATTATCTTTATCCTATATATTACCAGGCATTTCGAGATTTGCTATATCATTTCTTATCATTAACCATCTGAAATGATAATTTTACATTTCAATTTTAGAGCCAAACATAATAGTCATTCAACTTTCAACTCTTCAAAACTAAATAGGCCATCAATAAAATTTGTAATATATCATTATTGGAAAAAATGGTAAAATAACTTCTACTTGCTAAGAAAAAAAACCATGAAATGTCTTCTCTAATAGAAACTGTGATAGTAAATAATTAAATAATAATAAATATTATAGAATATAAAAACTCAGAATCTAAGGAGTCAAATCAGCTTATGGATTGGAGTTTAGTGCAGATACTGAAATCACTGTGGCTTCCAATTCATACAACAAACAGGGAATTTTCACCAAAATCTGCTGTACAAATAAAAACCAAGCCCTGGGCACAAACCCGACTTGAACTTGAAAAAATCTCAAATAATGCAGTACATGATAATTAGGGGAGGATCCCCAATCACAAACATTATATGAATCATTTTTCTTTCTAAAATGTGTGATCTATATTCAACAGTCCCTTCCTCAGGGCAATTACTCAGTAATTGGCCCCGCAGGAGAAAGGTCAATAAGAAGTTTTGTACTTCTTGTAATGCATATAGCTGGGATTCTTCACTCCATATGGAACCAGATAAAATAATTTAATATATCCCACAAAATAATAACTACTATAGTAATAAAAAGATTTAATCTAGACTGTCAAAATGGCTCTCATGGATCACATCACATTAGAAACCATTGGCTAATCCTAACTCAATATACATGGAAATGCTATAAGAATGATAGAAAAATGAGGCTAGAAGTGAGAAACAAATTCACTGTCCACATGTAAATTGTGAAAACTAAGATCCAATTTAGGAACACAGGATGAGACACAAATTATGTGTTAATAACCTAAATTGTAAGATTCTTCTACCTAAACAAATTAGGTATACATCAATATACAAAATAACATGGGAAAATTACCTTTGAATCACTACTAGCATTTTAGTAAACTTAGTTTTAGACTGCATGTCAGATCTTACCCAAAATAAAAATTAATATCCAAACACATATATGCATTACACCTGAATTCTAGAGCAAAGAATGAAAGAACTACACGACAGAGAATGACACAGTGAAGGACAGTAAATTGAAAGGATTCAGGTTTAGAGGTTTTTAAATATCATACCACAGTTGGCTATCGAGTGCAGCACTGTGTTCATTAAAAAAACCTCTAAACCTGAATCCTTTCAATTTACTATCCTTCACTGTGTCCCCCTGCCCACTAAAGGGGCTGCTGTAGCATAGCAGTTCAGTGTAAAAGCCACAGCAGACCAAAATAGTGAGCTGAATAACGGCCATTGCAGCACTGTGTTCATTAAAAAAACATCCAAACAGGGACATTAAGGATTTGTTGTAGGGCTATCCTCTTGGGATTCCAGATTCCAAAATTGAAATCTATAGATATAATCAAAGTGGAAATGGCGTAGAAGACGGGATTTTGAAGATTAAGATTGATGTAGGAAACTTGTATTTGACTTTTGTTGTTATTTACTGTATTAATTGTTAAATGTTATTAGTTGAGTATTTTTTATCACTTAAGAATTTATATGCATATATACAGCATATAAACGACAAAAAATTCAACATAGCAACTATCCTTCCATACACTCCCAAGGGTTTAAAAGATGGATATTAGGTCAATAACAGCTCACTTAGGTTGTGTGTCATACATAATCAAAGGTTACCCAGTTTAACCAATCAGCGTCACGGTTGCCACTCATGACAGATCACTGTTTCCTGTCATTTGCCGATCTTACCTAGACATATAAAAAATATCCCACCAGAATATGATATTTGAGAGTGAACAGGACTCAAAGGGAAGTGAGAAAATCGTGGTATCATTCCATCCCATGAGTAAGCATGCAACAATTATAATCAAAGGGGAATATTCAAATGTCTATGATAAAAAAGATATGAGGTAGATCTAGCATTTTCAAATTGTATTTCGAACTCTTGGCGGTATTTTAGTTGGCTGGAAGCAACTATTAAGTAAAATATCACTAGAAGTAAGTACGTTCAATTATCTTCAAACAAGTTAAACTGCATTGTACTTCATCCACAAAAAACAGAATCAATGCGTTGGTGAAAGGCATAAACTCACATTCATCAGCAGCACCAGCAAAACAATTCCTCAACCACTTGCTTCCAAATGAAATTTCTCAACATAAATGCCCAAATGGCTTCATCCAGTCCTACCCATCAATTCCTCTTTATCAGGCAGCATCAGTTAAATCCATTGAGTTTATAAANTTATAATCAAAGGGGAATATTCAAATGTTTGTCTATGATAAAAAAGATATGAGGTAGATCTAGCATTTTCAAATTGTATTTCGAACTCTTGGCGGTATTTTAGTTGGCTGGAAGCAACTATTAAGTAAAATATCACTAGAAGTAAGTACGTTCAATTATCTTCAAACAAGTTAAACTGCATTGTACTTCATCCACAAAAAACAGAATCAATGCGTTGGTGAAAGGCATAAACTCACATTCATCAGCAGCACCAGCAAAACAATTCCTCAACCACTTGCTTCCAAATGAAATTTCTCAACATAAATTCCCAAATGGCTTCATCCAGTCCTACCCATCAATTCCTCTTTATCAGGCAGCATCAGTTAAATCCATTGAGTTTATAAACTCCAATAATTGAAATAAAACTACACTTCTCAGAGTAAAAATGCACCAATTTAACAGATTCAATTCTATGTGACTCCAAACTCATATAATAAACAAATAAAGCATCCAAATGTAATTCATCCAAACCCACAAACACAACATCTTTCTTTGCCAATCAAAACATGGACACCATCTCTCAAACTCCACGCACTATTCAATGAAATTCACCTAAAAATTACAGACAAAACTATCGAAAGTCTACCAGAATCAGAACAAATTTGATTTGATTATCGGAAGATTAATTAGGGGTATTGGTCAACTGCAGTTAAACAACTAAATAACATACTATTAATGTCGAAGCAGGGAAAGGAAGGAAGGCAACTGAGAAGGTATCTCTCAACACAGATTTGATAAAAACAAATTGAGATCCGATTCTTTACAAGGTAAATCGAAAGGTGAAAAGATTTTAATTTAAGAAAATAAAAGGAAAATGACAAGGAAAAAGAAAGGGGGAAACTAATCATACTTCTCCCTCCAAGAGTAAACAAGAAAGAAGACCCAGGAGAGGGCCAAGAGAAGGTCACCAACAGTCTGGCGGAGCCAATCCCAGGCAAGATCCTCGACCTTGCGTTCGAAGTAGATCCTCCACATGGCCATGAAGAGGTGGAGAAGCGTGCAGCCCTTGGCGAAGAAGACCTGAAAATCGCGATCCCTGACGAAGGAGACCATGAAGAGGAGGAAGCCAATGGCGACGAGGAGAAGGCCGGAGAAAGAATCGGAGGTTTTGATGAGGAGCTGATCGTGGGGCGTCGATCCCAAAAGCTTGGTGGCGGTCTGGACTCCGTGGCCGAACGTGTAGACCTCCTTCATGTAGAACATCATCAGCGCACCGCACGTGACCGCTATGAGCGAGTGCAGGATGCAGATCACCATGAACGCCGACGACGATGATGCCATTCGCATTCTCTCACTCTCACTCTCACTTCTTCTTCATCTTTCAAATCACCCTAACCTCATGCCTCTGTTCTTCTCATCCAAACAACGCCTTAATTAAACTATTAATTATTTGGGGCAAAAGATTCTA